TATTGGGGGGCGGGCCAGGTGGGCCACATGCCCGGGTTGCAGGCTCGATCCTCAGTGTGGGGCGTGCAGGAGGCAGCCGATCCCTGATTCTCTCTCATCACTCACGTTTCCATCCCTCTCTCCCTCTCTCTCCCTTGCTCTGATATCAATTTTAAAAAATAAAAAGGGAGATTCAATCCTGGCCTCTATTTATTGGTTCTGGTGGTGACGGGCGGCACAGGCGGCGACCTTTTGGGCTTCAGAGCCACTTGGGTAACTTCCCGACATCCGTGGCCAACGCCCTTCATTCACTCCATGTGTTTCCATCTTTGGTTGGTCTTCTGCTGGTGGATGGGCTGTTTCTCAAAACCCGTCACTGCGCTCTGCACACAGTGGGCTCCCAGGAGTCTGTGGTGGGTGACGACGGACGAAATGATCGAATGCGCGCCTCCGAGCAGATGTGTGGGGGAACGTAAACAGCCGCGACCTCTCGGGACCCGCGGGAGAGACGGTGCAGCTGGTGAGCTGGAAGGGACGCCGGGCTCTGGGACGGGGTCCCAGCGACACTTCCTCTCCCTCCTCCGCTGCCCGGGGCCAGAGGGCGGCCAGCAGCGACCTCTCTTCGTCCCGTGGAGGGAAGCCCCTTTCTTCCCCCGCAGCTGTGTTCTGCTCTGCTCAGAGGCGCGGGGAGCGTTTCCCCACACCCCTGGGAGCCAGGGGCAAGAGTGGGCCAGGTGTCCTCGGGCGGCCGGGGTCACGTGGCTGCCCCAGCTGGAACCCGAGCCCCTGTCTGCCACCTGGAGGAGGAAAGGGGCAGTGGACACAGGGGTCCTACATGGCGGCACCAGCTGGCTCATACCTCTGGGGGCCTCCTCCAGGAAGCCCTCCCAGATTGACCCGCTGGCTTCCTCCCGGCCTCGTCACCACCTTCGCTCTGCCAGGGCGGGCGGCGTCGGTTACGGAGGCATTTCTGTGGACCCTGTGGGGCCCGGGCTCTGTCCCAGGAGATGCCCCCGGAGCTCCGGGCTTGGGCACTTGTGGGCCTCGAGCTCGGGTGTGTGGGCTCAGAAGAGATCTGCTGTCCGCCTGTCTGATGGGACCACGAGGCTCAGCCCACTGAAGGCCGCTGTCCGGCCGGCCCCTCGATGCCATCGTGGCCGCCCAGCAGGGCTTCCCCCCCGCGTGCGGACTGGATCCAGAAGGTCCCTCAGGCCCGCCGCCCGATATAAGTCTTGTTGGGGAGACGTAACGTTGCCCAGTCTCTCTGGGCGAGCTCCTTGGGGCCAGAAACGTAAAGACAACTGCAAGGCGGCACCTGGGCACACCTGGACCTGGACTTGGACCTGGACCCGAACCCGAACTGGAACCGGAACCAGCCGGGGACAGACACCTGGCCCTTTAACCACCCCGTGACACAGCCGGGCGCCGGGCTGCACTCCCCGTCTCGCTCGCCACCTCCGTGCTTCACGGGTTTCTGTTAGGTTTTCAAACGAGGCGTTGAACTCACAGAGGTGCGCCCGGATCCTCCATCCGCGGGCGTTAATAGAATAATCGCTGGCAATTACTCGGCGTCTGAAAATGGGGGCGGGTGTCAGAAGCGTTCCCCGGAGCGCTGGGCGGGCGTCTGGGTACCGGGTGCGAACTTCCCTCT